TAAATTCTTTGCTTTCGTAAAACAAAGTTGTGCCAATTTATGCCAGAAGAGAATCTGGCCTTTCATCTCTGTCTTGCATCATAGCAGCCACATCACCTAACTGGCTGTATTACATCAGGGGGCCAGTGGCTGCCTTTACAGCAATTTCCAATCCTTGTGTATGAATTTGTCAGAGAAGACATAGGATGATCCACTCCCTGAAATCTTAATTTGTTCTACTTCTTTCACTCCCCCATCATGATCCCTGTGATGACCACAAATGCAGAGCTTCAGCCCCCCCCCCCACAATACTATCAAAATAGAGAGAACAAAAGACATAAACCAGCTTGATTAGATGCCTCCAGGTTCCCTGTAATCACAGGAAGTTGGTCTTGCAGGATCCCTCTGGCTCAAGTGATCCTAACATGATCACAGGATGACTGGGGGAGAAACCAAGTTTCCTGCCCATATTCAGTAGGGGAAATTCCTTTACAAGCACACTGTTGCCAATCTGTTACATCTATACATATGACCCCAAACCACCATGGTTTGGCATCTGATTCCATTTTGATTCTTTGAGGGGGTGGGGTGGGTCTCTTTTCCCCGAAAGACTGTTTGATTAAAAATCAAACACCAACATTTCTTTTCTCCAGGGGTCCCTAATTCTACTTACACTACAAAGACTAATTGGCTGTATGCAGCAGAACCACCATGACATTTTCTTTGGCCATTAATAAGTAAAGAGGTGTTAACAGACAGCAGGCTTTAGGGCTCATTTTGAAAAAAGCAAAGAGCAAAACAAAACACAAAAGAAAAACAAGAAAAGGCAAAATGAGTATCTTCAAAACCAAAAGAAACGGTAGAAAATCACAAAACCTTGAACTTCATAAAGAGAGACACCATCAGTTAATAATTTGGCTTGACCCTTTCTGACAGTTCTTTTGTGTATGTGGCAGCAATGCCCAGGGAAAACATAAAACAAAAACCCCAACAACCTACAACGATTCATTTTTTTCCATGCTTGAAAACATTGATGAAAATGTTTAAGTTGTCAGGACTAAATGACAACCTTAATGATGAAAAAGATTTGGTACTTTGTGTGTTGGTCTGATAAACCGATGTAATTGATGTTTGATCGTTTTTTGTTCTGCAAAAGAACCTTATGCCAACAATAGGCAATGTCCCATATGGTCAGGGCAGCTCTGCAACAGCAGAGAATTTAATAATAGAACTGAATGGGCTAGTACTCATGAGCTAAGCAGTGAGTCAGTACTTAGATTGGAGAACCCAGTTGTGATGGGGTATACAAAGCCTACATTTGGCCTGAAGGGGCTAAAAGGCAATAGGGGGCTCAGGTAGCCTCCTGAACATGCTTTAACTGGAGGAGTGGGTTAAAAGGCACCGAGAAGCCCAGGCACAGGGGGCGGACAGGTAGCAGGAGAGAGAAATCCTTCTTCAGGAAGCCAGACAGCAGGCTGAGTCTCGAAGGGAACCACAGAGTGGGTAAGGCCCACAGGCAGTACCTTCTCCAACCATCGCCCGCTTTGAGAACCAGCAAATCCTTGGTCCTTTTGACTCTAAGTGACTGACTGGACTTCAGGGGCCATGCCCCAAACTGAAGGGTCATATAAGTAGGCAGTAGCCCAGAGCAGCAATCAGACTCGCTGCTTGGAGGACCCTTCCAGTGTTGGTTCCCACCTGGCCCTGGACTGGGACCTGGTGGAGAGAGAAGGCATCATTCCCCATACCACAACCCTTTTGGGGGTCAAGGCCAAGCTACAGGTGAAAGGCCAAAGATTCCCAGCTTACGGTCAGGGACAGGCACATCTAGTGCTCTTTTAGAGAGGGCAAAGAGCTGGAAGTCAATTGCGCTAACCACTAGGTTTTTCGGAAGGCCGGACAGCCTATCACACCAATGGAAACCTAGGTACTGGAGGAAGTGACTCTAGAGGTGGCACTCTTCTCACACCCTAGAATGAAGGGTCACAGTATTATTGAGGATGCTGTCTTTCAGAGGAGAATACCTGTGTTATGTTGTTGTGGTCAAACCCAAAGTTGTCTATTATTCCCTTCCCAAGAGCTGGAAATGGGAACTCAGACATCTTGGCTAAAGTCTAAGGTAGTTAATTATATTCTGCTCAGGTTTTACTCTCATGGTATTTTCAGCTGGTCATAGTGGGCCAAATTCTCCGCCTGCATAACCCCATTGACTATAGATGTCGACATTTCAATGGTGGGTGAAATGAGCCATATATGGTGTATGCATTTCATGTCACTGGGAGAGGGGCATTGGCTGCTTGGCCAGCTGACCCACCATGGTCTGGGATCTGGCAGCTAGAGGCACAACCCACCCCCTAGCCAGTTAGTGTGTGCATGCTGTGGCTGGCCAGAGTCGCTAGCCAGAGGTGCATCCTCCTTGCCAGAGAAACAATAAACATGTTCCCATAGGTCTGTCCTATTCCAGAAGGATGGTTCTTGGGTCGGAATAACAGTCGGTACAGCTCTACTTCCCATACTACAATGCTCCTAACAGTACAGACAGGATTTCATGCACAGCAGATACAAGACATAAAACACATACATAGATGATCCATTTATTGGGCTGGGTAAGTAATGTAACATCCTGCTAGAAATGAAGTGAAATATAGTCAATGGTAAAAAGAATTCTAGTAGGCACCATTTATTGTTTTTAATTAAATATTAAAATACAATAAAAATCCCATTACATTTTTTTTAAAGCTACACTTGAAGGTTTTTAGACAAAAGGGGGATTTTTTGAGATCTGTGAGAAATTTTTAGGTGCATTTTAATTTTAATGCAGTGTTTCAGAGAAGGGACTGGATGGCTCAGGAGACTGGTAATGTGAAACACAGCTTTATTTAGGTTGCCAGTTCAAATCTGCTTGAGGTCAGCAGTGATGCTACATACAATGTTATCATGAAGACCTGTTTGCTGTGAACCAGTGGGTATGTGAACAGTGCAGCTGGGCGTGAGCCTCCCAACCCGGGAAGACAGACTCAAGCTAGCATGCTAAAAATTGTGTGGATGTTGCAGTTTGGATGGCAGCTCAGGCTCTCAAGCCCACCTGACCCCCTAGGTCAGAGCTCGGGTGGCTAGCCCAGGTCTCCGCTGGATCTATAATATCTATACACTGCTATTTTTAGGGCCCTAGCCTGAACTGAACTAGTGCAAGGCTGGTACGCTCACTAACAAATTCCACCTCACATGGTAAAAACTCTAGTGGTCATGTCAAAAGTTAACCATTTAAAAGCTGTTTGGTAGCCTATAAGAGCTATGTTGGTGATCTTAGTTCAGATGCCAGTTATCCATTGCATAAAACTTATGATACCATTGATTTGACTGGCACACTTGCTAGCAGTAAAGAGGGTGGAATTCTCCATGGTCTCCCATGTTACTCCTAGGCTAGATATACAGTAGGATCACTTTGCCAGTGTAGGAATACCAGTATACTATACCGGCAAAGCATGCCAAGTGTGGACAGAGTTTATATGGGCAAAGTTTCACTTTTGCCAGCATAACTTAGTCTAGTTCTCCAGAAGAGAAGTGAGCTATACTGGCAAACGTGCAGTTTCATCACTATATCTGCAACTACACTAGAGACTTCGACCAACACAGCTATATTGGTCAGGGATCACACCTCATCACACCCTGACTGACCTAGTTATGCCAGCAAAAGTCTGTAGTTCAACCTGGCCCTAGAGCTGGTCCCACCAAGTCAGGATTGAGGTACACAGAGGGCAGCACAGGAGAAGCTTCCCCAGGTTGCTGTCCTTGATGTACCTGTTTTGTGGAGAAACAGAAGAATTCAGTCTCCACGACTGTCAATCCAGCACCTTTCATTAGCACTGAATTCACTTTAAAAGGTTGAGAAGAGTCAGTGTGAAGTAGATACAATGCATGAGGTCACATATTTATCTAGGACTTGTCTTACTACAGTAACAACTAAAAAAAAGACCATGTATGGCAAAGCCCATTATATAGATGTCTCTGGAACAGTACAACCATTGATGAAATATGCAGGAGTGCAGAAATTGTCATCAAAGGCTATGACTATACTGTGAGCTAAGGGTGTGATTCCCCATCTCACATACACATTCTTGCACTGGCTCTCATTGAGCTAGCACAAGTATAAATAGCAGCACAGACACAGCAGCCTAGGTAGGAGCAAGGGAGGCATGGCTAAGCTGTGCCAAGTACATAACCGCTGGTTTTCAAGTTGGTTTCTACTTGGCATGGCTCAGCTATGCCTCTGCTGCCTCTACCCGTGCTACCGTGACTACACTGCTATTTCTATTGTGTTCGCTCGAGGAGCGCCACTGCGAGTATGTGGACAGGAGCAGGGGAATCCCACCCTTAGGTTGTAGCATAGACATAGCCTTAGACTACAGACTGCCCAGGAATGGGGAGGAAGGATTGACTAGTGGTCAAAGCATAGGACTAGGAGTCAGGAAAGGTAGGTTCTTTCCCAGACTCACTCTGTGACCTCAGACAGGTCACTTCCTCAGTTATAAAGTGGGGTTAATATGCACTTTTCACGCCTGTATAGCTATTTCCCACCCCCAGTTTTGTGATAGACTTTGAGATCCTTGGATGGCAGGTGCTATCAGAGAGCAGCTTTATGATTCTGTGGGCAACTGGTATAAAAACCAGAATTACCCTGTATTTCTAATCAGGATTTTGGGACTGCCAAAGTAGTGAGAGTGCCTGAGGAATCCATCTCAGCTTTTACATGAGACCTTGTGCATGCCAGTGAAGAGACACTTGCCCAAATAAATTTGTTAGTCTCTAAGGTGCCACAAGTACTCCTTGTTGTTTTTACTTTGAATGCGGATAGTCAATTCTAGGTAGACATCTAGATGTGTCCTACAAGACTGTTGTTTCTCTGCCTATTAGCCGTCATGTGTTCATTCAAAGCTCCTGTGATTTGGGAAGCAACATCTAGCTCCCATTTTCCAGAATGGAGGTGAAAGGATGTAAACTGGGGGTCAGAATTTACTCACTGCACATATCTCCCTCGTCCTCTCCCTCTGCGCAGTCCCTGATGAAATCACATGCCTGTCCCAGTTTGATTACTGTTCCATTCCAGCAGTTGAAGGAACCCTGTAGGGCCATTTTGGAGCCAGAAGGAGATCCTAGAGAGAAGTAAAATTAGTCAATTAAGATTGCTGCACCCTCTTTTCCAGAGTACCCTCTTTTCCATATCCCTACTGCAGTGTCTGCTGGGATCCCAACCACATGGCCACAGAATCATGAAAGTTAGAGATGCAGAAGACTTAATGGATTACCCACTCCACCCCTCTGCAAATACAAAAACGTTCCCAGCAGTGCATATCATCATGACAGAGGATTAGCAGTTCTGCCCTTTCTTACCTTCTCAGTCTTGGTCACCATAGTGTGTTCATTATGTTAGAGCAGCTTCTCTTTTCTCCTTATGCCCAACAGTCCATGTTAAGTACTAAGTCCGTGTTAAGTTAAGATAGGTACAGTTCTCAAGGCATTTTCAGTGTTTTTATGTGGGGGGGCAGAGCTGATACTTTAGAAAAACGGTTGAATTCCTACTGTCTGTGTTGCTGTACTTCTGAAGAACGTGGTATGTCAAACAATACATGTCATGGATTTTTAATTGTGTGAAAATTTCCTGCTAGCCTGACAGCCCTGAAGATTGAGGTGCTTTCTCTGAAGCTCAGGAACAGCAAAGGGTTGTAAACAGTGCGAGCTTCTTCTACACCATCCTGCCAGTATGCCTAACCTATGACATGGAGGCATCATACTTCTAGGAGTTAGAAGATAATTTAGCATCTGTTGTCCTGATCAATCCTTGCCTCTCTCTTCTCTCCCCCCGACAGCAGAGAGTACCAACAAGGAGGCCAGCTGTGATGTGAACCACCATTTACTGGGATGTGAAAATCATCAGCTCATTTCATATAAGCTAAACAGTGTTTAGACAGTAATGGCTTTTAGTTAGTGCTGAGCTAAGCTGCAAGATTTTATAGCCTAATGATAATTCTCCTTCAGACATCTAGACAATGTATGTTCTGATGTAGGCAACTTGGCCACCACAAGGTAGAACTGATAGTAATGGTGGAACTGGAGTTGCGTATTAACGTACATTCCTTGTTTAAGACTTTAGTTACCATATACCCTACATCCTAGTCAGCAAGCATGTCAAATTATTCTAAAGAAACATATATCAATCTTCTAGCCTGCTTTAAGTACCCTTACTTTACTGTATCAGTTATAACACCTTGCAAGCAGAAGGGCTCAAAGAGAAGGCCAGACTGTGGGTCAAATTTTGCTCTCATTTATACTAGTGAGTACCTCCAAAATATTACTAGTAAATCCAGAACTACACCTGCAGTTACATTCTATTAACTTCCATGGAGATAATCCTGATTTACACAGGTGGGTGAGAGCAGAACTTGGCCTGCTGTCTATTGGATTCACTTCACTCATTGCTGCAAAGCAGGAACATAGCATGGATGGGCCTGGGGCAACGGACTGGGAGTCAGAAGACCAGGGTGCCATTCCTGTATCTGTTGCTAATTTGCTTTGTGACTTTAAGAAAGTCATTTCCCATCTCTGTGCTTCAGTTTCACCATCTGTAAAATGAGGGTATACTGACCTCCTTTGTAAAGTGCTTTGAGATCTAGAGATGAAATCAGAAAGGCTAAGGCACAAAATGAGTTACAGCTAGCAAGGGACATAACAGGCAAGAAGAGGAGGTTTGTTAAATACATTAGGATGAAGAAAAAGATGAAGGAAACTGTAGGTTCTCTACTCAGAGGGGAAGGAGAGCTAATAAGTGATGACAAATAAAAAAGGCTGATGTGGCCAATGCCTATTGTGCTTCCGTCCTCACTAAAAAGATGAATGGTGACCAGAAACTCAACACAATTAATATTAACAACAAGGGCAAATGAACGTAAGCAAAAATAGGGAAGAATAGGCTAAAGAATATTTAGATAAGTTACACATATTTAAGTCAGTATGGCCTGGTGACATGCAGCCTTGGGTACTTACGAAACTAGCTGAAGCAATCTCAGAACTGCTAGCAATTATCTGTGAGAACTCATGGAGCATGGGAGAGGTTGCAGAGTACTGGGAAAGAGCAAACATATCACCTATCTTTAAAAAGGGGAATGAAGAGGGCTAGGGAATTATAGACCAGTCAGCCTAACTTTGATATGTGGAAAAATACTGGATTAAATTATTAAACACTGAATGTGTAAGAATGTAGAGGATAATAGGGTTATAAGGAATAGCCAGCACAGATGTGTCAAGAACAAATCATGTCAAACCAACTTAATTTCCTTACTGGCCTAGTGGATTGGGAAGCAGATGATGTGATATCTTGATTTAAGTAAAGCTTTTGACACAGTCCCACATGACATTCTCATGAGTCACCTAGGGAAATATATTGTAGATGGAATTACTATAAAATGGTTGCACAACTGGTTGAAAAACTATATTCAAAGAGTAGTTATCAGTGCAATGGCTTGCTGTCAAACTGGTAGGGCATACCTAGTGGGATCTTGAATAGGACAATCCTGGGTCTAATGCAATTCACTATTTTCATTAATGGCTTGGATAATGGAGTGGAGAGTATGCTTATAAAATTTGCAGATGACACCAAGCTGGGGGTTGGGGGTTTGCAAGCACTGTGGAGGACAGGATCAGAATTCAAAACAACTTTGACAAATTAGGGAATTGGTCAGAAATCAACAAGATGAAAGTCAATAAAAACAAGTGCAAAATACTTTACTTAGGAAAGAAAAATCAAATGCAAAACTACAAAATAGGAACAAACAGGCTAGGTGGTAGTACTGCTGAAAAGGACCTGGGGGTTATAGTGGATCACAAACTGACTGCGTGTCAACAATGTGATGCAGTTGCAAAAATGGCTAATATCATTCTGGCATGTTTTAACAGAAGTGCCATACGTAAGACACAGGAGGTAACTGTCCCATGCTACTTGGCAATGTTGAGGCCTCAGTTGGAATACTGTGTCCAATTCTGGGCACAGCGTTTCAGGAAATAAGTGGATAAACTGGGAAGAGCCCAGAGGAGAGCAAAAAATGTTAGGACAGATTTTCTAAATATCTTATGAGCAAAAATTCAGAAATGCTGGGCATGTTTAATTTTCAGAAAAAAAGATTGAGAAGTGACCTGATAATAGCCTTCAAATATGTTAAGAACTGTTATAAAGAGGACCGTGATCAATTGTTCTCCATTTCCACTGAAAGGAGAACAAGTAGTAATGGGCTTAATCTGCACCAAGGGAGATTTAGGTTAGATATTAGGGAAAACTTTCTAACCATAAGGATAGTTAAGTTCTGGAACAGGTTTCCAAGGGAGGCTGTGGAATCTCCATCCTTGGAGGCTTTTAAGAACAGGCTGGACAAATACCTGTCAGGGATAGTTGAGACCACTTGGTCCTGCTTCAGTGCAGGGGGCTGGACTTGATGACATCTCCAGGTCCCTTCCAGCCCTTCATTACTATGAAATAAGGTATATAAGAACAAAGTAGTATTATTCTGTATTGTAATGAAGCAGCTGTATGTACTGCTATGCTGTAAAACAACAGCTTTCAGAGGACTGAATAACTTCTTCTGCAACTACAAGGGGAATGGATGTTGGCAGGACATTTATTTACCAAAGTGAAAATCTGGCCAGGACACCAAGATCAATACCTCAACTGTTGCAAACGTGCAGTGAGTTCTTTAATGGACTAGAAGTGACCATAACCTATTGTGCCCCTATTAGTTCAAGCTCAGAGGGGAAAAACAACCTACTGAGTTAGTTCTTGTAGCACTTGCATTTGGTTGTTGGTTTTTTGTTTTTGTTTTTTTGGTGCGGGGTTGGGAATTTCTACCCAAGAACTGTCTAACCTTAAGCTTCTTGGCATCTGAGAGCTGGCTACCTCATCTGGGTGATCTGGCTAAAAACACAGTATGCTTATCATGGCTGTTTAACAAGTCAATTTATTGCTCATTATTATACAGTATACCACACACACCACCTTGTCCTCCTGTGGCCCTTTTAAAAGAAGCTTCAGATACCATTTCTGTGCATCTTTTTTGGAATCTAAATCTGAAGCCCAGGTCTCCTACCTCCTAAAGAAATACAAGTCTGCAGTTTGTGCTCTCTATGAGTGAAACGTGCAACCCATTTGCCAACTTCAAATACTAGTAGCTCAAAACATACTGGTGCTTCTTTCTGTAAAGGGATACACCTAGACACTTGTATCATACATTTTTTACAAGGACCTCAAAGAGCTTTAAAAAAATGGTTACCTACTATTATTTACATTTTACAGATGGGGACATTGAGGCATATAGAATTGAAGTAACTTCACCGAGTTAGTTCAATACAATGAATCAACAGCAGAGTCAAAAAGAGAACTCAGGTCTCCTCATCTATCTAACCAAGAGTAAGGACTACTGCTGCTTTAATGTCTTTACCACCCTGGGGTCATCCATCAAGTCAGCTCTCTTATTAGCTATCTTCTGACTGCAACACCCAGTCTGAATATAAAGTCTGAAGCACTACAAACACAATCCTATGTAAAAGGAATGATCACAAGATGAAATGCCTGCAAGCTGTATGGAAACTATTTTAATATACCATAATAGAGGCTCAAACTAAATGTGCACCCAAAATTTAAAAAAAAAAAAGAGTAAGAGGAACCAAAAAAATGCCACCATGGCTATAAGAGCAAATTAAAAGAGGTGGTTAAAGGCAAAAAGCAACGTGGAAAAACTGGAAGTCAAATCCCACTGAGGAAAAGAGAAAGGAGTATAAACTCTGGCAAGTCAAGCATAAAAGTATAATTAGGCAGGCCAAAAAAGACTTTGAAGAAGAATTAACAACAGACAAAAACTAACAAATTTTTTTAAGTACATCAGAACCAGGAAGCCTGTCTAATGATCAGCAGGGTCACTGGATGATTGAGGTGCTAACGGAGCACTCAAGGAAGATAAGGCCATTGTGGAGAAGCTAAATGAATTCTTTGCATTGGTCTTCCCTGAAGAAGATGTCAGGGAGATTCCTGTACATTAGTCATTCTTTTTGTATGACACCTTCTGAGGAACTGTCCTAGACTGAGGTGTCAGTAGATGTGGTTTTGGAACAA